ACATGGTTGATTTTATCTCCCGACAGAAGCAGACACCCTGTTGCTATCTCCTCCAGCTATGTCATCCAACCCCTTCATTCCTTCCCCCAATGCAGGTATTACGTTTCCTCACCAGTGAGCTCAGAGACCTTACTATGGTTACCACCCACCTTGTGACTTATGTAACTACTGAATATGTATGTCTTATGGCAACCTATATATATATCCCAAGTTAGTAAAGATGCCCTCTCCCTCTCTCTCACCCTCCACTTGAACCATCAAGAGGGCTAAGGTGAGCATGCTACTATAAAATATGTCTGACTCCTTTATTTTATTCTCTCTCCTATCTTTCCTATCTTTTATGACTTTACTATGATCCTTTTTTCCATTTATGTATTTATTTTAATAATTTTATTGGGGGTTCGTACAACTCTTATCACAATCCATACATTAATTGAATCAGGCATGTTTGTACCTATGTTGGCTTCATTCTTTTCTAGTCATTTACTTTCTATTGAACCCTTGGTATCAGCTCTTTTCCCCCTTCCTCACCCCCCCCCACTTGATTGTACATTGTTATTATTTTCATCTCTCCCACCAAGAGATGTCTCCCTTCCCCCATACTTTCTGTCGCTCTTCTCCTTGTAGAGGGGTGTATGGTTATATGTCAATCATTATGATCGGTTCCTCCTTTCTCCCTTCCTCTCCCTCTCTTCCCCCTACCAACTTTACTATGACCTTTATTTATTATAACCATACACTCACACCTACTGACTCTTCAGTTGTAAGAGGCTGGCTTCCTCTGACACACCAAAATAAAATTAAAATGGTTTAAAAATTTTTTTAAAATCCCAGTCAAGAAGTTCTGGGGCTTTTTGGTGTTTTTTTTTAGTTTGAGATGAACTTGTTTGTTACTAAAAACTCCAAATCCATTTCAATTTTACTTTCTTCCTCTTTTTTATAAAATAAATCATTTTTTTGTTGGGGGCTAATCTTCTTTTTTTAAAAAACTCATTTTATTGGGGGCTCTTACAGCTCTTATAACATTCCATACATCAATTATATCAAGCATTTGTACATATGTTGCCATCATATTTGCAAAACATTTTCTTTCTACTTGAGCCCTTGGTATCAGCTCTTTCCCACTCCCACCCTCCCACCCCCATGAACCCTTAATTTATATAAATTATAAATCATTATTTTCATCTTACACCATCTGCTGTCTCCCTTCACCTACATTTTTGTTGTTCATCTCCCTTGGGGTGGGGGGGAGGGGGTTATATGTCAGTCATTGTGATTGGTTCCCCCTTTCTTCTCCTATCTTCCATCTACCTTCATAGTATTGCTACTCCAATTACTGTTCCTGAGGGGTTTATCTGTCCTGGATTGCATGTGTCCAGAGCTTTTATCTGCTCCAGTGTACACGCTCCGATCTAGCTGGATTTGTAAGGCAGAACTGGAGTCATGATAGTTAAAGAACTAGAGGAATGTTGTGCGTTGGTGCTATACTGCATCCTGGCTGAATCATCCCTTCCTTGTGACCCTTCTGTGAGGGGATGTCCAAATGTCTACAGATAGACTTTGGGTCTCCACTCCAACCCCCTACTTCACATTGATATGATTGCTTGTTTGGGGGTCTTCTGATGCCTGAAATCTGATCTCATCCACACCTGGTGTGCTTTTTCCATGAGGGCTTTGTTGCTTCCCTGAGAGATGGCCACTTGTTTAACTTCAAGCCTTTAAGGCCCCAGACACTATAGCTTTTAATAGCCAGGCACCATCAGCTATCTTCACCACATTTGCTTATGCACCCATTTTGTCTTCCAGGAAGGTGAGCATGACAGAATGCCTGGTTATTAGAAAAAAAGAGTTGTTAGGTTGAGGGAGGGCTTGAGTAGTGGCCCAATGTCTGTCTGTCACCTTAATACGTAAAATATAAATATATGTATATAGACCTATATCCCTATCATTATATATTAATATATTTACATATATACATGCCTATATGGATAACTCTATAAATGTCTTTTGCCTCCGAGTTCTATCCTCTTATTTCCTTTTACTTTCCTCCTGTCCCACTATCATGTTGGAAATTCATACGGCTCTCAATAATTGCTATTGGCTACATTGCACTTGATCAACCCCCACCAGGCATTCTACACCCTCTTTGTCATCAATTTTAGATCTCTTGTTGTTCTCTTGTCCCTGGTTTTTTAGCTCCCCACCTCCTCCTCTACC